ATGTTTGTGTGTGCTTGATAATGTAATGATTGTGTATCAGCGGTTCCTTTTTTAGAGCTTTCAGTAAATAACTATAGCATTTTGAACATTCATGTCCATGACTATCAATGAATCCTGTAAAAAAACCAATGTGCTTATTATGCTGTAGATATGTTATGGCGGCAATACACAGAGCATGGTGGTCTCAAAAATAAATGCAATTTTATTTTACTTTAAAATACTTTAAGCTAATATCCAGGGCCAGATTTACTAATTGGCAGCTATCTGGGGGCACATGTCTGTTAGGAGCGTTTAGCAAGGCAGGGGAAATTGTCACTCGGTAACAGAATAACAATGTGGGATGCACTTGATTTGTGGCATGCACTATGATTTTGCTTCTGTGCAGCTGTCGCTGTATATTACATTTTTTTCTTGCAACCTACTGCACTGTAGATGAGAATGCTCACTGTTGATGTACTTGGATTTGTGCTCTCCAGTAAATATTAGGTAGGGTCATCAGCAAAGGGAGCATACTTTTTTCTTTTCCCAATAACGTTTTTAATACAGTATTATTTACTATACTATATTTATTTTTATTACATTTTTGAAGGGATTGGTATGGAAAAATGTAAACCTAAATTTGGCCAAGTTTGCACTATCATGTCCTGGGTAGTGGGATCTAAGAAAAAATTTATGCATTTAATGATGATAATAAAAATAGAAAGTTATAAAAGTGTAACTTTTCAAACGGGAGACAGGTTAAATAGTTATTTCCCCCATTAATCAAATTATAGTAATTATATCATATGTTGGATCAGTGAACACTTCATCAGCAATTCACACTTTAGCAAATAACTGTGAAAGTGCAAAGGAAACAAAAAAAAAAATAATCAGAAGTGGGACATGGTATTTTACACCATATAATTGGTACACCATATAATTCTGTCAATTTCCTTAAAGCCGATCTGTTGTTCACAAATAGTGTAGGTGGCAAGATCATGTTCTCTACAAAACGGAGCTAAATTTAATGAGAAAAACAAATATGTAGCTGTAGCTATAGCCAAATGGCTGCCACAATATAAAGATGATAATATAATATGAGTAATAAGAATGATACAGAGGACTTTTTTAGGAACCTTTTTCCATTTTCAACTATGCTCATTTCTGTCAAAATTGGTTACAATTACACTTACTCTGTCCGCATTATACTTCTACATAAAACTACAGAAAATTATTTGATAAATTAATATTTTTTTTTCAAACATTTTCTCAAATATCTTTCTTAATACCATAGAAGTACCAATGATGCAAGTCACATGCTTGTAATTCATTGACTCCTTACCAATATTATCATACAGTAATATGTTGTATTAAGAATTATTTTCACATCTCTCTCACATTGTGCAGAATGTTTGTCTAAACACATTTCATTACAGAATCCATATTCATTGTTTTTATAGAGATTCATTTGAACCTTTATAAAATATAGCACAAGCTTGATGTTTGTCTGAAATAAAAAAATACAGATCATATGATGACCTATCTAGTGAGTTTGCATTTTACCCTCTTCTTCAAAAGTTAAGTATAGGATACTGCAACACAAATTTACATTAATATAAACTAAAACATTAATTTTATAATCTACATAATATAGTGCTTGGGCTATTTAGGTCTATATTACACCTATACAAAATTGTTTTTAAAATATGGTATTTATTGAGGACGGTGCTTATATTAATAATGATGCTTCAAACAAACAGACAATCTCAACAAAAGTGCTCAAGAGTCACACTATTTATTTTTATATAGAGAGAGCAATAAATGGCAATTTGAGCAAAAATGAAGACTAATAGAGAGAAAAAGAAAAAAAGAGAAGGAAGAAAAGAGGCTAGGAGTCCAGTGTTACAGCAGATTATACATGGAGACTTGAGGGTCCACACACTGCATCCATAGCTGCCATATTTGAAGATGTTGTTCCTTCCTGCCCAGTGGTGTATCCTGGTTTTGTGCTGCCCTAGGCATCTTCCGGCTCCCAGCCTCACTCTGCGGCGCGCGAGGGAGTTGAGCAGACAGCTCAGAGGAAGAGCTCCCTCGCCAGCCGCCTGCCAGCGCCGCCCGCCCGCCCGGCATATCAGTTAGCCACAAGGCTAACTAGGCATTTTCCCTGGGCATTTGGGGGGCGGCGTTTTTGCCGCCCCCTGAAAAATGCCGCCCAAGGCAAATGCTTTGTTTGCCTCGCGGCTAATACGTCCCTGTTCCTGCCTTGAAGTTGTGCTAATAATCTCTCAGCGGTATGAATAAGTCAAATTTTAGCCAAATTATGATCATTGATGGGATCAAGGCTCTCCAAAATATAGCAAGTACCATTGCTGTACAAATACAGTGGACTAAATGAAGATAATGTTTTGCCGTTGAGCTGTACAGTTTACGTTAAATAACATCATTTTCGAGACAGGATTTATGCCAACATGAAGGCAATCAGTAATATGTTTAAACATATCCTGCTATACTATGATAAGTGGACAAATCTTCTATAGATTGTAAAAACGTCCAATGTTTCCACATCCTCCATCCTCCAGTTTCTAGATGTATGGGAATATAGATATGCTGGAGATGTTGTGTGTCAAAGTACAATGTGGAGTTAATATTAAATGTATTCTCTTTAATGCACACTGCTATTTTATAAGAAAATGTTAGGCCAGGCTTCATTTGTGGAGATATAAATTTAAACCGTACCCTATTTCTAAGGATAAGTAAGCAAATAAATTGTTTTAAATCTGGTAGGAGAAATATACCGGCAATCAAAAATCGACAGGTGGTCTTGTGTACAATGTTTGTTGTAGGTAGTGGAAGATTTCCTAAGTTGGAGCATTACGGATCGCTAGCAGTGACTTAAAGGACCACTCTAGGCACCCAGACCACTTCTGCTTAATGAAGTGGTCTGGGTGCCTGGTCCAGCTAGGGTTAACCCATTTTTTTTATAAACATAGCAGTTTCAGAGAAACTGCTATGTTTATGAATGGGTTAAGCCTTCCCCCATTCCCTCTAGCGGCTGTCTCATTGATGTGAGGGTAGTTTTATATGTGGAGATGACCAGGGAGGGACAGGAGAGGGAAGGGATGGGTAGCAGTTGTGAATCAATATCAGCTGACGGCTGCTGGAGGTCAATAGAATGAAGGTTCCTCCTGAGTTAAATGGGGTTAGGCTGAGATTGTTGGGTGAGGGGGTACTTGAGAGCAAATGACAAGAGGTGGTGATCAGAGAGAGGAAATGGAGTGTTGCAGATATTAGATACTGTACATGCATAAGAGAAAATGAGGTTGAGGGTATTGCCAGCTACATGGGTGGGAGAATTAGCCCACTGTGTAACTGAAAGTAGTTTAGAGGCTGCTGAGGTCAAAGGTGGGTTAATGGGAATATTGAAGTCCCCGAGAATTAGGGATGGAATATTAGAATAGAGAAAGTAGAGTAGCCAGGCCGCAAAGTGGTCAAGGAAGAGGAGAGGGGAACCAGGGGGGCGATATATAACGGCAATGTTAGCAGAGAAGGGGCGAATCAAATGAATTTCAAATGATGGGAAAGAGAGGGAAGGGAGGATGGATAGAGGTTTGAAGGAGCAGTGCGGTGAGAGGAGAAACCCTACACCACCACCTATACTTTCAGAGTGTCTTGGATTGTGGGTAAGTTGAAGACCACCAAAGGATAAAGATGCAGGGGTAGCAGTGTCAAAGGGGGGGGGGGGAGCCATGTTTCTATTAAGGCTAGTAAAACTAGGCAACGAGAGATGAAGAGGTTGTGGACAGCACTGGATTTTGTAATATTGCAAACAGAGGGTGCATTCCAGAGAGCAGTATTGAAGGAGGATTTAGAGGAAGAGTAACATGAAATGGGTATGAGATTGGTGTGGTTCCTTGAGTTAGTACGTGGTGGGTTTGCTGTGATGGGCCTGGGGTTTTGAGACATCACCAGCTGCAAGGAGCAGAAGGATAGAAAGAAGGTGTAGGTGGGAGTAGGATTTGAAAGTTTTGTAGGAGGGTATGTATATAGAGGATTTGGGAGGAGTTGGAGGAGATAGGCTGGAAAGATACACGTAGAGTGCATGGGATGAATAGAGAGGGTAGGGGTGTAAAGTGTAAGTAATGAAGATGGTGTTGCCAGGGACAGGTGAGCAGAAGGATAGGGATATTTTAGTTATGAGAGAAGTTAGTGTGAAAGCGAAACATAGAAGGGAGAACATTATTTAGAGAAAATGTGTTTTGTTATATAGACATGAAGATTATACATATGAACATATAAAATCATAGACATATATACCTAGGGGTGTTTAAACCATGGTTAAGGAGGCAGTTTGTTAACAGAGGGATTTCAGGTGAGGAGAGGTTTAGTGTATTGATTGGTGTGTTTTGAAAAAAGGCTTTTCTGCAGGGTTTGGTTGCTTGTGAGTACTGGGTGTTGACAATCAATGCTGTTATTAGGGGCCCAGTTGAAATATAAGGTCTGGGGTAGAAAAAAAAACACCATTATGGGTGGGGAGACATTGAGCTATTGAGGTAATTAGAGATGAAAAAGCAGAGGAGATAACATTTGGGATAAAAAGATATGAAGGATCAGATAGGTGAAAGTCATGAACAGTGAACATAAATTTACAAGACTGTCAGTGAAAGAAGTAACACTAGCTAAACAAACAATAACAAAAAAGTCATAAAGAATGAACATAAAATAACAAGGCTATAAATGCACCAATTAAAAAAAAACCTGAAGATCAGGATGGGAGATATAATAGTTATCAATTAAGTAGTGAGAATATAGGGAGGGAGGTGGAATAGAACACAATCTGAAATTAGGAAGTAAAGGGAAACAATAAGTAGTACATGTAATTCTTCAATTGATCTTCCAGAGATGATACCTCTGCTTAGGCTTTTCTTCAGGGCTTGGTTGCTTGTGAGTAGAGATGTCGCGAACCGTCCGCGAACTTCTCGCGAACGGTTCGCCCCGAGCTGTTCGCGGCGAACTCCGGTCAGCTGACACGTCCCGGCCAATCTCCAGCAGACCCTCCCTCCCAGACCCTCCTACTTCCTGAACAGCATCCATGTTGAAACATGGATGCTGTCCAGGAAGTAGGAGGGTCTGGGAGGGAGGAAGTAGGAAGTAGGAGGGTCCAGGGAGGGAGGGTCTGCTGGAGATTGTCCGGGACGTGTCAGCTGACCGGAGTTCGCCGTGACGCGGCGAACCGTTCGCGAGAAGTTTGCGGACGGTTCGCGACATCTCTACTTGTGAGTAATGGGTGTTGATATTTAATATTTGAAAGAGTCCATTATGCCATATATCCTAACAGATTGTCCAGATCCTCTGGCCAAAAGTCAGCCCCAAAATTAAATAGCCACTACCATATTTAATCATGGACATGAAGTACTGAACCATGTGGCTACCTTTCTGTGTGCGCCAAACCCACCTCTAGTTTTTATTGCCTAAAAGCTTTATTTTGGGTTCATCTGACCATAGAACCTGGACCCATTTAAAGTTTAACTAGTGTCTGGCAAACTGAAGCTGCTGGAATTTATTTTTAAATGAGAGTAAAGGCTTTTTTCCTGAAACACTTCCTAACAACTTGTGGTGATGTTAGTGACGTCAGTTGCGTCTTGAGGTCAGAAAGTCTCCATAACTACATTATAACTTCTGCAATTCTCCAGCTGTGATCCTTGGAGATTTTTTGGCTACTCAAACCATCCACTGCACAGTGCATTGAAACAATTTAGACACACATCCTCTTCCAGTTTGATAACATTTCAAGTTGACTGGAAATTCTTAATTATTAAAAAACACACCCCCAACATTTCAAATGGAGAAAGAGGGACACTTTTTCATTTTAGTGGTGTTGCCAGGGGATGTTCTGAGAAATTTTAGTGGACTTTCTAATAATAATGTATGCAACTAAAATGTAATTTAGAACAATATATCTTATTTATACAGACTTATATCTAATCCAATGTTGTACTGTAAAGACACATTACTATGAGTATTATTGATGTGCAGCCCTGTTATACTCTCAGACACACCAACAATATAGAGCTCATAGAGAAGAGGGAAATTAAGATATAAGAGAGGGACATAGGAATTTGGGCCCAAAATGTTGAGGCATCGCTGCAATACCCCCCTCACTGCTGGTGGCCACCGGAGAACACCGTGTGATCGTTCCCCCCTGCAGTGAGGCAGAGCATCGGAATGGGTCGAGGTACTCAGTAAATATAAAAATTTTAAAAAAAATCATACATTTAAAAAAAAAACAACCCTACCCTCCCTCATCCTCCCCATGTACTTACCGATCGCCGTCGTTCCCCTGCTGACGAACGGTCTTCTTCTTAGGGGGCACTGTCTGGGCTCAGCTCTAATTTGGAACTCCCAGGGGCCATGTGACCATCTGACAGGCAGTGGAAAAGGTTAAACAAAAGTTTGAAAAAAGTAAAAAAATTAAATTAAAATAAAAAAAGTAGTTAATAAATGTAAAAATAAAAATATATGTATATATAAGATACATATATTAATGTAAAATTACACACGTGTGTGTGTGTGTATATATATATATATATATATATATATATATATATATATATATGCGTGTGTGTATATATATATATATATATATATATATATCCCCTTAACGACCGTGGACATACTACGTACTATGACAAAATCTGTTGTTAAGGGCTGCGGACATGCCTAGTACGACCGTGACAAATAGGAGCTCTGGACCGGCGATCACGGTCAGGAGGGACTGCCGGAGACCCCAGCAGTCCCCCTGCAGCAGCTCCGGCCACCCCGGCCCTCCAGGGTTAAAGCCAAAGGTGGCTTTATAAATGATTGATTCAGAGTGTTAAATACTTATGCAACCAACAAATATGTGCTATCTCACTATTAAAATGTTAAAAGCTATTTTAATTCCAGGTTGTACCACTACAAAATGTTGAAATGTGTACTCACTTGTACTCACTCATGCACACAGACAAAACTCCAATGGAAGCACTGTCTGTACTACCAAATACACCATGTTCCAAATTATCATGCAAATTCTATTTAAGTGTCACAAAGATTAAATATTTAGTTTTTTAGTTTAACTCATGGATGGCATTGTGTCTCAGGGCTCTTTTGATCAGTGAAAACAATCTAGGACACCTGTGATAATTAGATTGCCAGGTAAGCCCAATTTAAGGAAAAACTACTAAAGGAGGGTGTTCCACATTATTAAGCAGAGCACCATTTTCATGCAGTATGGGGAAGAAAAGGGATCTCTGCTGCTGAAAAGAGTGAAATAGTTCAATGTCTTGGACGAGGTATGAAAACATTAGATATTTCACGAAAACTAAAGCGTGATCATTGCACTATTAAGAGATTTGTGGCTGATTCAGAGCACAGACTGGTTCGTGCAGATAAAGGCACATTAAGGAAGATTTCTGCCAGATCCATGCATCGGATCAAGAGAGCAGCTGCTAAAATACCATTACATAGCAGCAAACAGATATTTGAAGCTGCTGATGCCTCTGGTGTCCCACGGACCTCAAGGTGTAGAGTCCTCCAGAGTCTTGCAACTGTGCATAAACCTTCTATTCGGCCACCACTAACCAATGCTCACAAGCAGAAACGGCTGCATTGGGCAGAAAAATACATGAAGACTAATTTTCAAACAGTCCTGTTTGGATGGAGTAGTGGATGGTTGGTGGACGGCCACCCTGTTCCAACAAGGCTGCAACGTCAGCAAGGCGGTGGTGGAGTAATGTTTTGGGCCGGAATCATGGGAAGAGAGCTGGTCGGCCCCTTTAGGGTCCCCGAAGGTGTAAAGATGACCTCTGAAAAGTATGTGGAGTTTTTAACTGACCACTTTCTTCCCTGGTACAGAAGGGAGAACTATGCTTTCCGTAATAAGATCATCTTCATGCATGACAATGCACCATCTCGTGCTGCAAAGAATACCTCTGCATCAATGGCTGCTATGGGGATAAAATGAGAGAAAGTCATGGTGTGGCCTCCATCCTCCCCTGATCTCAATCCTATTGAGAACCTTTGGAGCATCCTCAAGCAAAAGATCTATGAGGGTGGGAGGCAGTTTACATCCAAACAGCAGCTCTGGGAGGCTATTCTGACATCTTGCAAACAAATTCAAGTAGAAACTGTCCAAAAACTCACAAGTTCAATGGATGCAAGACTTGTGAAGCTGCTATCAAATAAGGGGTCCTATGTTAAAATGTAACATGACCTGTTAAAATGTTTAAAAAGTTAAAATGTTGCTATAAGTTTGATTGAAATAGCTTTGATTTCAGTTAATATGCTGCAAACACAACAAATAAAATGTTTCAGTTCTTTACAACCTATAAAGTGTTTTGAAACGTACTGTGCGTAATAATTTGGAACAGTTCATTGTAAGTTATCATTAGGAGGTTTGTTCAATAAAATTTGAATTGTACTCTTAATAGTTGATAACATGAGAATTATGCTGACTGTTATTTACATCAATTATTTAGGTAAATGAGAAAAATATAATTTGCATAATAATTTGGAACAGGGTGTAATTCACAGATCCCTTGTTCCCTCTGCTGAATACAAAGTGTGGTGTCATTTATGGTGCGCAAAAATATATATTAGTATTTTTTTATTTATTTCTTTACTTTTACACCATGGGAAATAGGAAAAAAGAACAGGAAATGTGTGAATATATCAGGGGGACTGGGCATAGGTAACTAGGGGTTTGAAAAATACAATTTCAATCATTACTTCAAAGAATCATATTTTTTTGTTTTTAAAATGGGTTCTCCAATTTAATTGAAATACTCTGAACCACAGTTTTAATATAGTAATTACATCATCTTGTCTGTACTGTGTTACGCACTGCAAGAGATTAATTGCAGCTCAAGAGGAAAAGTCACATTGTGTAGCAGTATGTTTTCTAGATGATCAAAACAAGAGACGAGACTTTAACCTGCTAGTGTTCTCTGAGACAAAATGTCCAATTTCCCCTAATGGAGTGGTTGAGTTTAAAAAAAAAAAAGACAAGCTCTCGGCCACCTGTTTTTCAACCTCTTTTAATAGCTGCATTCGAGAATGTCAATGGATATAATTTTCCAGCAGTGAAAACATATGAAAGGCTTAAAAGCAGTCTGAAGCAGGTGGAATAATTGCTATGAATTTAGCTACCATGCTCGAACAAATAACATCAAGTTAGAAATACTAAGAAAAAGCTATTGTGAATAATATATATATATTTTTAATTCTTCATTTTCGCATAGGCAATCAAGTTCAACATATTATTGACAACATTGCAAAAGTAAGCTTTTTGCGCATAGATTTCAGAATACTTAAAAAGGAGCTTTCACATAATCATCAGAAACCCTGTATTGATCAGTTTCAAAAATATAAATTATGTTGTCTATTGTTTAGAGTAAATATCAAAAATATATGGTGATTGATATTTGTATTTTTAGATTTAACAAAACAAAACATCAGAACAAATATATATCTTGATGTATATCTTGTAGTCAATGCTTCTCAAACCAGTGGACCATTTTCTAGGGATTGCGTGGGCAAAACGTTTGGTTCAGAAATTCAGGTTAATGGCATTTGATGCGGTTCGGCGGCAATTCAGCAATTCTGACCCTAACCTTAACCGTTTGTTTTGCCACTTTTCAGAAAACCGAAGCACTCAGGCAATTCGGCACTTCGGTTCGGCACTTCGGCAATTAGAACTTTGGACATTCATAAGCATCCAAATGTCCGAATTGCACGAAATTTGTCCGAATGTACATTCTAAACGAAATGATTTTCACATGTCTACCATTTTCTATTAATCTACTTTTTGTAACAGAACTAGCTTTAATCCTGAACGGTTAGTGAGCATGGAGGAGTGGTGTGATAAATTCTGGTATTTGTCATTAAAATGCTGTTCCTTAGATGTGATGAGTGGGTACCAGACTCAAGAATATATTTCAAGTTGCATATTTACCTAAACTTCAATCTAGTAATACAAATAATACACAAACGCTATCTCAACTTATTCTGTAAATATTAGATCTATACTACATCAGCCACAACATTAAAACTGCTGACAGTTGAAGTGAATAACATTGATTATATTATTACAATGGCATCTGTAAGGCAGCAAGTGAATGTTAATTTCTTTAATTTAATTTGTTGAAAGAAGAAAAAATGAACTAGAA